ATAAAAAAAGACTTTTCTTAGCTTATTTGTTGTATTGAGATAAAAAAAAAAGATCCATTGTTTGCTTTTCCAGAATACTTCCACACATCTTTTATCTGTATTGTAAAACATATCTATGATATGTTGTTATACAACAGATACCGTAGGTATATGTTAACATTTTGCTGTAAATAAGTCTGTCAAAGACGCCAGGCCATTTATAGTAAAACGAAAACTGCTTCATATGACAACTAGGACTACTCTTTCGAAAACTACCTTTCCCTGCGGTCCTTGCAAGCCCTAATTTCACAATCTACCAATCGGCGCTATGACAGTCCGGCACGTGACATAGAGTAAGTTCCTGCTGTGCTTGAGGGGAAGGGATCGACGTTCAGCCGCAGGAGAATCGCACTTTGCGGGTAAGTTAATATATTTCGCCATATCAAGGCCACTTATGTCTATGTTTAGCATTTTTCTGGGAGGTTTGTCCAAGGTTTATTTGCACTAGGGATTATGAGTATTCTGAATTTAGAGTGGTACAGGCCGTCGTAGCTCCTAGGCCTTCCTGGTGTAACTCCGCAGCTGTGCCAGTTGGAATGGCCAAGTTGAAAAAGTTAATTTTACGGGTATTAGAGGACCTCAGTACTTCTCCACTCTGCTTGTAAGTGTTCTCTTTATTTAGAATTTGCCATGAACACTACCTGGTTCTGACACACACCTTGTTGTGTGTAATTTGAAAGATGAAAACCACCCTTTAGCTGTGTATTCTCTATAAGTTAGCTACATTAGTTGTGGGTTCTACATCGCAAACTGTTGAGCTGTCAGGTTTTGTTGATCTATGGAAAATGATAGATAACATTACTACCCAGGATAACAATGTACCACAATCGTTTAACTGCTTCTACTAAATACAAGAGTATTTAATTTTAGCTTCTCACATATTATGGCACAATATTATCTCTCTTTGCGCTCACAGATAAAATCACGTGTTTGTAGATGTGGCCTATTGATAATGTTGTTTGCTTGATGAAATTAATGTAGGCTTATATAATCTTTTGTGCTTTGGCTAATATAGTGAGGTACAGGTGACTGGGTAAGAAGTTGGTCAAGCAAAGCTAGTATGGGATCAACAGCCTTGTGCTGTGCACTTGTTGCAGTAATGTCAAAACGAGGAATATGTCTGTAGATATAAATATGCAGTCATATTTATCTTATTTCGAGGTGTATTGTTTTGTTTGACATCCTGATAGTGTGACTCTGTGCAGACCCTGCAGAGGGCATGACAGCTTTTGTTTACTAGAGCCAGATCACTGTGTCAGTAAGGAATTAGTACATATATTAACTGATAAGTAACAATAATTTGTAATACAGTAATTGCAGTGTTAGTTTTGGCACCTAAATTAGTCTTTTGACATAACTGCATACTAGTTGTAGACATACTGTAACCATTTTAATCAAAGACATTCTAGTTTTCATTAGTACAGTTTTGGTGATGGTGTTATTATTTTTTTTTTAAATCACTTTACTCCTCTCTTTGTGTAGTTCTTGTTGACAGGCAAATATTGTAACTGGCCACTGCAGAGCAGCTGATCATTCAGAAGCTGTTCACTAAAATATTTTTTTATTTAGCTTGACAAGAGCAGCTTAAAGGTTGGCTAACATAGGCTCTACAATGTTCCTTGTAACATCTAGAGAAAGGCAGAAAACATTTTTTATTTCAAAACTCAACATTGCTGTCAAATGGTAGACAACAATACTGAGGTAAACGTGCACCCAGGTAGAGTGCAAAAAAGTCTATCCACTTAGTTTTTTTTGTTTGTTTTTTTTAAGGAACCACCTCCTTATTTAATTGGTTTCACTCATCAAAGGCTAGGTGAAGTCTGTGCCCAAAGCATGGCAAGTCCAGCTGTTGAGCTGTAAGGCCCTCACCAGCACTCATGAGTGTCCTTCAGGCCATGTGCAATAAGCTCTCTGGTGTGATCTTCTGGGAAATATGTAGTTGGGAGAGTCGCACTGCAAAACTTCCGCTCATCGGTGAAATTAATCGTGAGACTCAGATGAGGTCCTGATATGCAGCTGGACCACAGGTCACTTGTTGTTGCAAAAAAAAAAAAAGATGCTTTGAACTTTGCTTTCAATTTTGGCATGACATTTGGAGTACATTCGTTGAATGACGGTGTTGGAAGTGTATTTGTGGCTAGGTAACTCATACTGCAATTCAAAAACTTGGATAAGTCTTTGGAACCCCTCTTTTTCCACTGTTTTGATAGGAACCATATCCTTTGCCAGCAAAAATGTTATTGCGTCTGTTAGCTCTCTCCACCGATTACTTGTTTTCTCATATGAAGTGCTTCTTTCAAATGCCTGTGATAATGTTGTATGTTTTATTCTAGCTGTAACATTAGCTGCTTGCAGTGGCATAGTGGACCTCATCAATTGACTTTCTGCATATTGTTTTGGATGCCATCTCTTTAAATGATTAAGAAGGTTTGTTGTATTGCCATCCAATGTGCGAACGTTCTCCTTGCAAACTTTGCAAATAACTGTAGTTTGGTCCATGTCATCCAAAGAAAATCCAAACGAGTTCCATATTAGTGCATTTCTTCTGTTGTGTTGTCCATGTCTAACTTCCAGATGGTCAAAAAGGGTGGAGACAAAGCCTAAGGTTGATCTGCAGACAACACCCCACTTTGTGCTGGAAGAGCTTATGCATGTAGAGCACTTTTCTGTGCATTGCTGCACACTCAAGGTGCTGAGGATCAAAATAGCATAGCTCACACACAGCTTCAGTTAGAAGTTAGAAACTCGCGCACAGATATAAGGTGTGAAGAGACTCATGTGACCTTATACATGAGAGAAGCCAGTCAGGGCAGTCTCTGGCAAAACGTTTTAGAACTGAAAGTAGAACTGAAGTGACATTATTTCAAGATGATTAGTCCCCATTTCAGAATGCACCTATATTGTTTTGCATTTTGTGACTTTCAGTTGAATAAAAGACTTTATCTAGTCATATATTTCATTATTGAAGATTTAGTGTTAAAATCTCAAATTGTTCTCGTGAACCCAACATCATGTCTCGTTAGCTAAGTGTATTATCATGGTCCTAGCATCAAATATTAAATAAAAAAAAAATGTATTGACTATTAGAATATTCAAAAATCTTTACCCATCCCTAATACCATCCTGATCATGTGCTTAGGTACACACTTACCCTGGCTTCAATTGGCTCAACAAACATTTTGTAAAAGAACAGTGCTGGCAAACCTTTTCTTTTTTTTCCTCAGCCTGTGGAAGCCCCCGTCCTCCAGCGATGGCCTCACCAGTTTCAGTCTACAACTCTAACACCTTGGACTCGCACATCTCCGATGTAAGTGAATTTATGCTCATGCTTTGTCTGTTTGTGTTCTGTTTCTGGTATATCTGCACCGGGACTGTGTGCCTGTAACAGTCAGTAAAAGGTAACAAAAAATATATATATATTTTAATAAAGGTAAAAGGACAGATGGCCACTCTAGATTGTAGATTAGACACAAAGCTGAAAAAGAATGAACAGAATCTTCACCCACCCATCTTTAAGGTCCCAGTTTTTCAGTTTGTACATACAGTATATCTGATCCACAGTTTGATCCAACCACTCATCCATGTTTGAAGTGACAAGGTTTATTGCTCAAAAATGCACCCAAAGTAATTGAATTTAGAGCTGTAATTATTTGATTGACAAAAATAAATAGGTAACTTTTTTTTTAACAGATATTTTATTTAATTTTTTTTTTAAGAAAACTGTGTTTCTCACAGAATTGCATTGTCATTGTGGCGGTACCTCTGGGCGGTCACGCTTTCAAAAAATGTTTTTTAAATTAAATATAGTAATGCCATAGTGGTGCTGTACTGTTCATCTCACCTGTCTCTTCTGCACGATATCTCCCACAGCAGCAGCATGTTGACTGCTGCCTTCTTACATCTCTCTCTTCGACTCGCTCTTCCTGACTCTCTCTTGCTGCTTCAGCAGCACCATTTGAAATGGATCAGTTAGATCACTAATCAAGCTGACTGGCTTTCCCATGTGTGTTTTTCAGTATTCCTCCTGAAAACAGAAATAGAGCAGCGCTTGGAGGGACTGAGCGAATACATGTGCTATGCATGGCACTACATTGAAATAAGATTTAACCTATTTTAAATCAATACGTGGCGGTCAGTGTTGATAGTATGTCAGTTTGCCATAAATAAATCAGTGTATGGGAAACACTGAACTGTGCGTGACCTTCTAACTGAACTCCTTTCCACAATTTGGACATAAAAAAGTGGTGAGGGTATCTTCTATGTTAATGTCACTCTCACACTCCACCATGCTGCTCTGCTTCTGTTATGTAATGGTATTTCACCCCAATGATAAATATCATCACATTTTAATATTGCAAGGTCTCGTGGTGCAAGAGATAAATGGGAATAGTGAGTAAGAACTAGTAAATTTCAGAAATTTGGGAAAAATTATGTTGAATAATAAATTTGGCTGGGACGAGCAGTGTGCATTCCACACAACAGAAGCTGCTGGCTCCTGAGGCCTGTTCATTACTTAGCAATGTTGCATTGCTTTGGTGAATGCAGAGTCCTGGGACTGACTTTTTTCAAAGGTTGCACTGGGTGTGACTGCAAAACAAACAGGTTATGCGTGAGTGACTGCTCTCACTGTACAACAGTTTACTCAATACTGTGTTTAACTGTAGATCTGTCACTTGCTTGTCTCACAAAGCAGACATTTCCAATCTTTTAAATGTGTTGATCCACACTGATTCCAAGACACACATCTTCCCTGGAGCCCTTTTTAACACTTTGAGTACATTTTGTTTTCTTTGGCACATTTGAAGTGTAATCGCCACAGATAGCTGCTTAATACAGGCAGATCTCCTGTTGGTGTGTTGGTGTTTTTACGTAAATTTCTGGTGATGGATCAGGCTCCTGGTGTTACTGTGAGCTTTCTGGTTTTGCTTCCCTTGGAGCAAGATGGGGAAAATAATAAAATTAATCAGAATGAGCTTTATTGGCCAGGTGTGCTGGACACATGAGGAATTTGACTCTGGGATGTTGGTTTTCAATCTGTATGTACAGTGTCCTTCTGTAAGGCGACAAGTAAACAAGATAAGAATGAAAAACAAAATGAATATGCCATCAAGAAAAGCAGTATGGTTTAGGAAAATAAAATACTTGTGTCTTCACCTTCCACATCTTCTCTAGCTCTTCTGTCAGCCCTTGGTATTTCTCGAGCTTCTCGTGTTCCTTCTTCCTGATGTTGCTATGGCTTGAGATTGCTCTTGATCTATCACTACAGCCCTCTTCTTCTGTTTGTCCACCACTACTATGTCCGGTTGGTTGGCCATTACCAGTTTGTCAGTTTGTATCTTGAAGTCCCACAGGATCTTAGCTTGGTCATTCTCAACCACCTTTGGAGGTGTATCCCATTTTGACTTTGGGACTTTTAGCCTGTACTCAGCGCAGATGTTTCTGTACACTATGCCAGCCACTTGGTTATGGCGTTCCATGTATGCCCTGCCTGCTAGCATCTTGCACTCCGCTGTTATGTGCTGGATTGTCTCAGGGGCATCTTTGCACAGCCTGCACCTGGGGTCCTGTCTGTTATGGTAGACCCCGGCCTTTATTGATCTTGTACTTGGAGCTTGTTCTTGTGCTGCCAGGATTAGTGCCTCTGTGCTGTCTTTCAGTCCAGCTTTGTCCAGCCACTGGTAGGATTTTT